AATCTCTAAAAATACACACAAACCCAAAGGAATTAATACTTTTTTACGCAAAAATAATACTATTTCTATATGAAAAAAAAGTATTTTCTTGGTTAAAATGAAAAATAAATATTTCTATATCATAAAAAAACTCATTGGTTGAAATATAAAAAAAAATCTATCTATAACATGAAAATAAAGTACTATCAATACTATTTTTATTTAGGGTGGGAGGGGGTTGGAGAGGGTGGTGTAGCTCCTCTCTCAACAAGTCAAAAAATACAAACTCTTCATTCTCCCTTCAACAATCACTTTCGACGAAGCAGCAACATATGTCGACTTTGACAACAACTGAGAGTTTGTACTTTGATGATAAGCTATCACAATTGCTAAGTTTTTAAAGAGTTGCGCGCCGAACTTTGTCGCTACTAATTGGCATATGTGAAAATATTAGTGCCCCGTCACGCTCAAATCCTGGGTCCGCCTCTGGTGGAGAGAGGGACAGGGGGTGGGAGGGAGAAGTAAAAATGGAAGTCTCGAAACTACAATCAAGATTTATTTCCCTATATTTCTTTTCTGGGCACTGTCTGAGCAAAACTAGCTTCAGTAATGCTAGTAGATGCAAAATTTTGCCCACCATCTTAAGTTTTTGAGCTCACACTGCCATCTTTTTGTGCAGGATTATCAAGGCCAGCTTCCTCGTCAAACCGCTTGCTTTGTCCGACGCTTTCATCAGCAACATCAGCTAGGTTCTGATCCACCTTATCACCTCTGAAATAGAGTCAAATATGTAAATATGTTCTGCTAGCTCTATAAAAGCAGTTGGCTAATCTTTCCAAGTGAGCATTTAACTATTGAGATTGACCAACAACTTATAAAATTAGCAATTTGCTTTCGTCATAGATGAACACTGAATTATCATTTCAAGCACTGCACTCCAGCACCTTGACTGTTAGAGGAGTCTCATCAATGGACAAGAAACAAACTGTTTAATCTTTTGCATTCTGATAGCTTAAACTCAATTGGTAATCAACAGAAACCATCCTGAACAAAGTTACAATTAAGTGAGGAACAGGCATGCTGGAAAAGTTATCACGGATAAGTACAGAGTTCAGGTTGCGGGCTGGAGGACAAAAAATATATCAGGGTCACATGAGTAGCTTTATGGAGTATCATGGGAGGAGTTCTACAAAAATGTTACAACTAGAGCAGGTGATGGCATCAAAAGCAGCTTGTGGAAGCAAAAGGGGAATCCCCTTGGTGAAACATTCCTGGCAATTTTTCCAACCAGCAAAGAGCAACAATGGCCCAGAATTGGAGAGGAATAATTTTATGGGACCTGAGCTATTGGAGAAACTTCAAATATTGGGAGATCGGGGAGCTTAACCATTTACTTGAACTCTTATATAAGCAGCAGATCTCATTACGGGAAAGGATAAATGGAGATGTGAAGGGCAGAGAGATTGTATGTCTACAGTGAAATTTTCTGCAACAAGATACTAAGAACAGAAAGCAGAGAGTTTCACCTGCTACTTTGTTGCCTTATGACACAGAGATTATGGTGTCCCCTATGAAAATTGTTTGGAGTTAATCGGGTTAGGACAAGAAATGTTAAAGATATGCTGCTAGGATGGAAACTAAAGGGGAGGAAACATAGAAGAACTTGGGACATAGCCCCACTGATTCTTACGTGAGTTGTTTGGGAAGAGAGAAATATGAAAACGTTTGAAGGGGTAGAAAATCCTTTTGTACAGATAGTAGAATGCTTCGTTCCTTTTACACTTTTGGAGTGATATCATATCTCAGTATGATGATTGAGCTACCAGAACAGATTATCCTCCTTTGGGCTGGAGTATAAGAATTATGCAGTCCAGGGCAGCACTGATGACTAGTTGGTACTTGTAAAAAATCATGTTAAGCTGCAAGATTCTATAAACTTTTTAGTATCAACTTGCATACGGGGTTTTCCCGATCATATCAATAAAATTTAACTTCATAAAAACAATCAAGTCAATTGCGCACATTTATAACCTGCTGCTCTTTTGAGCAAGATCCTGAATGCCAACCCCTCAGTGACAACACACATGTTTAAGAAGCCGCTATGCTATCATTTAAGATACTAACAACTATAACGATTGAAGCAGTGAAGCAATAAACCAGCAATTAGATTATCATCTTAGTTCTATAAAAACATGGACAACAATAAATATAAGAAACTCCATTCAGGAACCAAATTTGTTACTTACCCAGAATAAACAAGGAGTCCCACAGCAACAGCAGCAAAAGCTACATAATACATCCAGTCAACCTGAAGAAAAATGATACTGATTTCAGAATAGCACTAGTGTATCGCAGTAAAAGTAGTAGTTCTACGTTTAAATAGATTTTAATCCTCAAAATGTAAAGTAATCTGATTGTTCTGCAAACCTTCTCATGATATGCAAAGATACGAATTAAAACAGCCCACATATCAGAGGTAAGCAAGGCTAGATTTAGCATTGTGGCACCACTCATCTGCACGCAAAAGGTGGCATTTCAGAATGAGAAAACTAACTTCAAACCTGATGATCCGCAACAGAAATTAATTTTCAAGAACTAGACTGATCATAGCTAGAACTAGGAAGACGTCACTTTTCTTTAACAGGTCAGCATATTGTAGATTGCACCACTACTAGCTTTGGATTGGAACACGATTGCCTGATTGATCATCTTTTTATACATGTATACGTAGACAAATATACATGTGTGTGTGTGAACAGATAGAACGAGATATAGAAAGAGGGGCAATACCTTCAGCAAAACGGGAACAAATGAGTAGAATAAAAACATCGCCAGTGCAAATCCAACAAAGGGAAGTGTCTGAAATTGCCCATGGTAATAAATGTTTAGGCAGCTTGATGTGAGAATAAACAAAAGGACTACCATAAGACGGACAATGAAACAAAGTATGTAAACTCGAAAAATCAGAAGGAATGATGAGCCAGTTCAGCTCTTAAAGAACCTCATCAATACTCACATATAAGTCTTACTTTTGGAAAGGCAAATTAGGCTTATTGAGATATAAGAAAAAAACTCAGATTTCTTATATTTCTACAATGTTTCAGTTAACAGCATTGTGGTTTTTTTTAAAAACTAAAGCAGCATCTTGACCAAATTTTAACCTTCAATATTTATATCTTGAACCTCTTGCTAACCCACCATCCAGGGACTTGGCGTGCCCCTAACCTGACCCCTCCCACCATTGCCCACCACCTTTACCTCCCTTTCCCAAAATAACAGCCCTCCATACTTTCTTTTCCAGTTTTAGAATTTGAATTGAGATGCGCTAAACTGACCTTTTCGTAAGCATGTACAATTTGCACGGTAAAGTGGCTGAACATAAAAAAGGAGTTATCAATGTCTTTGGAAGGAGACAATCTGAAAACTGGATGATGTTTTATATAATGCTTCCTCCATCGCATGAGATTCATGCCTTTTTCAGCTTGTTTTCCTTTTCACTATTGGGACGGTAGATGAGTGTATAGGACATCAAGGAAAATGTGGACCTTAATCTTCTTAGAAGATGCAGACTGTGTGCTGCTCATTTCACCTTTTATAATTACAGCTTCATGTTGATACTTGTGGGAAGAAACAAATCAAAGTGTTCACATGAGTCATATCCAACATAAGTGAACTTGCTTAGAAATTAAAGAAATGATCCTACACAAATTTTCTCTTCCAAAGGCAGAGCATTAATTTCTTTCTTCGCTATCTATATCCATGCTCATTGGTGAGGAAATAGATCAAAGCATAAGAGACTTACTGCTCCAGCTGACCAACGAATGGACTTCAACTCATTGCGCTCAAGTATGCTTCTGTAGCATGGTTAAAGAAGTCATGTACATCACAGAACATCAGCAGCAGTTAAAGAGTACGCATTCATCAAGAAAGAAGGTTAACCCCCAGTAAAATCTTAAGAAGACAGAACATTAGGATACATTTGGCAAGCACTAACAATGGCACCAAACAGGCCCAGAAATGCCATGAGTTCAACCCTATCAGCACTTTTAACAAAAAACTCCTGCATAGAACATGAAATAAAAGTATTAACAATGCTTAACAGGAAAGCCGACTTGAGAAACACGACCAAGAGAAAAACAGCTCATAGTCAAAAGGGCACTGCACTGTACAAGGAATCAACACTACCTGAGAGAAATAAAATGTAAGACGTCAAAACTCCAAGGTCTTGCATTTACAGTTCACTGGAATGACTTTTATCATTTACCACAAGGTAAAGTGCATAAGGAATGTTCAATATAGTGTATCGGTTGCCGACTAATCAAATTTGTTTATGGAGCCAACATTAAACAATGAATCTTTTCTTACAAGTATTTACCAGCAAGTTGTCACTTAGAGGTAGTTTATGGAATTACATTAATGTACTCAATGCAGAACAACCCAATATCCTCAGAGAACCTGGGAAAAGGTTTAATGGACTACTGGACTTTATAGTTTCTGCCTGAGGACAAAAGGAACATGCATATGGACCGATGTCAAATAATTAAATTGATAATTGCAGACACCAAGTCAAATAATTTAGACGTAGTCTTTTGCACAGTGCTGAACTGCTGATTGTATCGGCCAAAGGGAACACAAGCAAATACTTTTCAACTGGAACAACCTTGCTATGTCTCGCAGGGAAGAAAGAACTTTTCTAACTACACATAGATATCATTTCTGGTTCGAAAAGTTAGTGAATTTTCACAGCTATCAATTGCGTACCTCACTGACATTAGTCACAGCATACAGCGTGGCTCCAGCAATCACTAGTATATCCCCTTTGAGAGGATTGCTACCACCTACAACAATGAGAAATTCAAGTATTATTCTTCAAAATAGAGTCAGTAAATGACAAACTGCAAAATCACTAAAATGAGAAGCAGCTGGACACAAGGAATTAACTATACGTTCACCCCCTTTCCAAAAAGTATCAGATGATACACAATCATATATAGGGAGAAATATAAGCAATAGGAAAGAGCATGCAGTGAAACCATACTGATAATTAAAATCAAACAGAACAAGCAAGATGACAACTGGTTGTAACAATATTACTTGATCGATCTGCGGCATGTACATCTGAAAAGATGACCAGGACAAGACCAGCAATGCAGATGGCAACAGCGACTAATTTTCTGGGTATGTATTTTGTCTTCAAGAAAAACCATGTAAAAAGCAGAACACACGGAATTGTCCAGCAATCCAGCAACATCACGCTTGTCAGGGATGTGTACTGGTAAGCCTTCACAACTGCAAAGCAAAGGCAACAGAAAATGAACTGATAGTTTGTTTAATGAGGAAATGTGGAGTTTGCATTTCGAGTAAACATGCGTTGCCAATCCTCAGAATCTCTATCCAGAAGAGGCGATTATAGTCCGTAGAAGTAGCAGAGGAAACTGCATATTTTGAGAGATTGATGTGTTGCTTAAAAAATCCTCATAACATTCATATGACATTGTGGCGAATCTGGAAAGAAACAATCAAGACACAAAAACTAGAACGTTGAGAAAGAACCTGTAGTACTGTTTTTCTGTGTTTCATTGTGCTAGCAATATCATGAATCGTGATGTTTAAACACATGGTTCAACTGACATGCACGAAATATAACTTTCCAAATAAAAGCAACATTTTAGGCAATATTTGTTTAAGAAGAGCAAGTCATCAAGGTTTGATCAGTGAATATAGGAAAGGGACTGTTAAGAACATCAAGTAAAACATATTCATGTTTCAAAGATACAATGTTGGGTAGGTGAAAGAGACAGGAAAAAGATGAGGGCAAACAGTTTATTTGGCTTCCATCCACAAGAGATGGTTAATGAGGCAATTACCAAGAAAATTGGCCTCCACATCAACTATTCCAAGGAGGACGTAATAATACCATTTTGCCTGGTAAAAGAGAAACAGAAACAAAAGAAGGTAAGCCAAGCATTCAATCTTAATAGCAACAGCTTGCTTAATTAAACAAGCATCAACAAATAAGATCATTTTAAAACACAGAAACAAGAACACAATTCTTAGAAAAGCTGTTGAGTTATACATATCCAATATCGGATAAGGGCATGAAAAGGAGATTTACACGTCTTTCGCTATTCTACCCATCATATCAAGGTTTCAAGTTGAACGCTCGCCTTTCATATGACATGAGAGCCAACTTTTGGTCTTAAGAGTATTTTGAAATGGTATCCTTGTAAGTAGAAAAAGGTCAGATTAAACTCACTGGTAACGTTTTGTAAATTTGGCTACCAGCACAGCTTTTTCTGCTGATCAATATACTGTTACCATTCTCGAAAAAAGAGTTTTTTGAAATGGTAAGAACTATTGATGTAAAAGTCAGCACAAAGAAAGTGATGTGGTTACAGCCAAAAAAAGATCAAAAGAAGAAAAGGGCTGACTGTCTATACGAAATACTCTATGAATTGTAACAAGATTTCAGCATCCTCTACTAAATCCATTTTACACCAGAAGAAATTCACCAAAAAAAAAAATACAGTCAGATTTGATTCTTCAGATTGAGCTCATTTGTCCATCAATATATCCATTTCTTTTATCCATTAAAACATTTGGTCTTAAGAGTTTTTGAAAAGGTTTATAAAAAGTCTTGAGCTACTCCACCTGTCACCTTAAGGATTTAAGTTGGATGTTCAGATTCGACAAAAAATAGCAACACATCAGAACTTGATGAAAGACAAGTAGATGGGTTCAAGTAATGTGCTACAAAACGAGTTCAAGCTAGCTTGGGTACTCAAATTAAAGATTTGACAAAGCTCTTAAGCTTTACACCCAAAAGCGTTTACTCTATATGTCCTAAATACAATTTTATAACTGCTTATTTGAGAAGTGAAGATAGTAATTGTAAGTGGGAGAACATTGGAGGCTAGTAGAAAAGAAAATGTTGAATGGAGAACAATAAAATTAGGTCTAATAACTCGTGCAGGAATTGCTTAGATCTTGAGACGTTTTAAATATATACTATATTTTTTCCAGAGCCTATGATATTCAACATGCCTCAAAACACCAATAACTAACTTCTGCCGCAAAATGCTCGCTTTCATACTCTTGTCAAAAGTATGTTCATTCTTCAGATATTTGTCAAACAATTAAACTGCAACAAGCACAATAGAAAGTCTTATGGTGAACATGATGAAAAATCAAAGCTTCTAGAAGCACTCGAAGAGTGAAAGTAAACCTTGAGCGGCTTTCGCCTGTAAATCATAAAGCCTCCATAAACTAATGCCAACAGCACGTAATTTAGAAATGACTGCGACGTTGGTGCATTGATTCCTATAGCAAGGAAAAACGAAATTACTTGTCAACGAAATAGACAGGGATAAAGGACACTAACTTAGATTACATTTTGTGTTTTGGATGGAGAGGCCATGGATGGAATACATGGGTGTAACATCTTCTATACGAGACCAAACTATTGCTATCTTTGTAAGAACTTTTGAAAGTCAGTTTTCAGAATTTAGAAAGTAAGTTGGCCATCACAAGAACTAAAGATAGCAGTACTTAGCCCCAGGAAAAATTCTTGCTGCCTCCCCTTAAATTTTACCATCCATTAATACTAACTCAAAGAGCACTAGATTCACAGAGTAAGTTAGCCATCTCAAGAACTCAAAATGCTAGTACCGGTTCCTCTTCTATTCATTTAGAGGAACCAACATGTTTCTCCAAACTTTACACAGCACATAATCTCAATTTGAAGACATGTTAATTACTATAAATTATGTCAAGTCAAAACTGTTCATTCAGCAGGACAAATATAAGTACTATAAAAAATAATAGGTTAATCTGACATGCTTTATTTACTACTTCACCCTTTCTTTGCCCAAAAAAAGGAGGAAAAGAATAAAGAAAAATCAAGGAACAGTTAACAGTAGCATCTACATACTCGTCATTTAAACTCATAAAGGTGTTTTAAGGAAAAATAAAACAAATTAGCACGAAAAGACCAGTCTATAATTAGGACAATTATAAAATCAATACATAGAGCAATATAGAAGCTAATCAGAGCTAAAAACTAAAAGCTCTAATGTAAAACAGCAGTCATACAAATTGTGGAGAGAAGCCCGCCAATGGAATAGTTATACAGATTATTCGGTAAAGGAAACAATCAGGCCACTCAGAGCTACAGATATGATGACGATTGATTTAAGATCAAAAACGAAAAAAAGATTCATTATTTTGCTTTCAGTTCGAAGTTTTGGTACACTCATTCCAATTTCTACCTCAAACATTTATAATTTTATTTGCTCAATGTAGAAACCAAAAGAGACCCATTGGTAGTTCTAGTAATCAAACAAACTGTCAAAGCAACTCAGAGCTTCAGCTATGATCATAGTCGAATTTAAGATTAAAAAATCAAACAGAAACTCAAGAAGTAATATTAAGCAAACAAAGGACAAATTGCACCTTTTCTAGCGAGTTCGGAGGATGAAAAACCAGTGGCGGTAATGAGAAGGGACAGAAATTGGCCCAACAAAAGACTCAGTAATGTTTTCTTCGTCCAAAGTCCCTTCACGTTCACCATATTCTAAACCTTTATCTAAAAACAAATATTGGCAATCACCAAATAAAGTTTATAGCTTCAAATTCTGTGAAAACCTAAGCCCAATAAATTACCCAAATTTTTTCACGGAGGCATCTCAGAGAATGCAGAAAAACTGCATACTCTGTTTTTTTCTTTGATATACTTATATATATAGAGGTGATAATTATTATGATGAAATTGATTACTATTAGAATATAGCTTTAAGCCGAATCTTTCGAAATATCAACGGCCGCTAAAGAGTTGTAAAATTCCTTGCCACTGTCGCCCTTTTATTGTCACTACTCGCCGTGTCGCCGTGAGAATTTGACTAACAAATTATTGGTTATTTTGATTCTTTTTATAGCTTCTTTTAAATATTTTATTGTTTACATTATTTTCTAGCTGGAGAGATTACTCGACCTTTGTAGTCATCAGGTGGGTCCAGGGGCAAAGTCAGACGTTAACGGATGGAATGCGACGACTTTTTAACGTTAATGAATAAACATGGATTGAGAAAATAGCAAATACACCCTGAGTTACATGTTTAACTCAAACAAAAAAAATTATTAGACAGCGAAGCATCAACAAACTCACAATAAAACTAGGGTTTAGTAGCATACTCCCAAGTCCCAATATAAAGGATTAGCATAATTCTTAAGCTATTTTATTAAGCAATAAGCAAATAGATTTGCCTGCCCTTTAACAAAAACCAGAAAAATATTAAGATTTCTTTTTAATAATAAAAAACAATCCTCTAAAAGCACTTCAAACTCTGTAAAATCTTCATTCCTGGGCATCGTATTCAACTAAACATGAGCCATCAAACTGTTAAACCAACCGGGCGAGAGCAAAAACGTAAACTCATAATTTTAGGAATGTTTAACATTGACATAACCTCAAAAAAATTTCAAAGCTTCAGATAACACATAATTAGGAGGAAGAATTTTACCATTCCAAACAAACTCGTTTCTCATAGCTCAAAATTTTCAAAGGACTGCACAGGTATGCTGAGTCTCCAAAGAATCTGAGTCATTAACAACACAACTAAGGAACTTAGCCATATTAACGCCTTTCACATTCAGCTCATACTGCCGTGCCGCAGATATTTCGCATCTTCTCACAATCAAGTAATACATGTTCACTATTAATTTTCTATCAAGTCAAAAAAATGACACCATGCTTGTAGATTAATGCCTTTAGCTAGTAGATTGTACTTATAAGCAAAATATTTCGAGCTAATCTCCAAATAAAATCTTTAATTTTGGAGGTTACTCAAGTGCTAAAACTTCTTCCTGTCGATAAAAAGCCTCTTGAAAGCCTAAGCCCGAGAGAGTATTAGAAAAATAATTTTAATAACTCAAAAGGAAATATTCAAATTGATATTTGGATTTATTTTTTTAATATTATCTTAATGAGTCTTTATTATACCAATTAATTGAATATATTTTATTATCTATAACTGAAAAATTTAATAGCTTTGAATATAATATTTTTACTAACCTTGAATGAGTATCATTATGACTATCAAAATAAGTTTGATTTATTATGATAATCAATTTGCTATTTGAACGGCTTTATTGCTCTAAAGTTATGTAACTATATGTTTGTGTTCATTTTGAAGGTGGAAGAAAGAAAAACTTTTCTTTTATTGTGTTGAGATGTCTTTGTTAATCTTTGTTGTTTCTGCTCCAAGTTATACTAGAAGAGCTTGTTGAATTCTGGGGGATACGCCTAATATTATTTATCTCGGTGTGAGCGAAATATCCTTAAGGACGGTGTCCTTGACACGTCTCAAGCTAAATATTATTCTCCATAATCCAATATATTTCCAACATTCTTAATGATATTTCCACATTCTTTTATTATAGAGAATCAAATTTGACGATGTACAAGTTGTTGTTCTAATTCTGAAAATGGGATCTGCACTCCACATTTGCACAATGGTATCATGGAGAATATCATCCTGTATTCAAATTATTTTTGTGGGTTGCAATATGTTAATCAAGTTGTTGTTTCAATTTTATGCATTATCGCATTATGGAGGATAAATTGCACCACAAAATTAAGGTACGTTTTTTCTAGTATTTGAATGCGCCTAAGCCTACATAATTATAGATTTGTATAGTTATATAATTCAATCAGGGGTACAAAATTATATTTATTTAAGAAACTACTTTATTCTAAAAGCTCTTAAAAAAATTCTTTCATGCTTTCGATTGGCATTCATACATATTATGTGTAGTCAAAAGAGGATTTGGCCGATCCTTTGACTTATAAGTAAAATATTGAGGGGTTGAGACTTTTGCCAATTTGAGATGTATCAACAATGATGGTAACCCAACCTATGTGATTGGAGATCCCATGAAGTAGGTTCATATGGGTAATAAAAAGTTATTAGTTGATCAAATGTGCACTATTAAAGTATGTGTACACAGTGCAAGACTACAAGGAATGTGAGGTTGAGTTATTAAACTCTTAATCCAATAATCCATAGTCTTTTTATAGGTGGTGTATTGTGCTGCAGAATACACTTGATGGATGGACCTATACGAGTGTGGAGTGGGGCCGCTCCTATGAAATTTGTGGCGAAATTTCTAGAGCACTCATGAAAACCAGGCGCGCGCATGGCCTATTAGCGCAAAACCACGATAAACAACAAAGTGTGTGCGGGTATAATGTGATAGATAAGACACTAAACTTACAGAAGAATTCTTGGTTCATAGAAGTTCTAAACTTCATCAATTGTTCTGTAAGTTTATTCTTATTTTATCTAGGTCTGGTTCATAGTCCAAGAGACACCAGATTCGACGCATTATGCTTATTTGTGAAACCCAGCGAATTTTTTTATTTTATTATAATGTTTTTTTTGAGTTATGTGGGAGATTGTTAGAAAAATAATTTTAATAACTCAAAAGGAAATATTCAAATTGATATTTAGATTCATTCTTTTAATATTATCTTAATGAGTCTTTATTATACCAATTAATTGAATATATTTTATTATTTATAACTGAAAAATTAATAGCTTTGAATATAATATTTTTACTAACCTTGAATGAGTATCATTATGGCTATCAAAATAGGTTTGATTTATTATGATAATCAATTTGCTATTTGAAACGGCTTTATTGCTCTAAAGTTATGTAACATCTCTTATTGGAAATATTTCTTAACTTTAACATTACTTTAATATCAACGTTACATTCAATCAGATGTCCAATTTGGACTATATATAAGTATATGTTTGTGTTCATTTTAAAGGTGGAAGAAAGAAAAACTTTTCTTTTATTGTGCTGAGTTGTCTTTGTTAATCTTTGTTGTTTCTGCTCCTAGTTATATTAAAAGAGCTTGTTGAATCCTGGGGGATACGCCTAATATTATTCATCTCGATATGGACGAAATATCCTTAAGGACAGTGACCTTGACACGGCTCAAGCTAAATATTATTCTCCATAATCCAATATATTTCCAACAGAGAGAGTAACAAAAATTATAAATCGATTCAATCATGTAAGTTATGAAATGACAAATTAAATTAAACAACCAGCCTCCCCTCTTATACTAATCGGAGTACTGCAAATTATTTTTTTGCTTCATATTATATGGCCATTGAATCCTGGATTTTAAGAAAGAATTATAAAAGTTTTTGTCACAAGTCAAAGATATTTTTAGAATTTGTGATTTTAAATTCCATATGCTATTAAAGCATATCATTAAAATCAAGAAAAATTTCAATTTATTGCATTTCAAGTGTAGGAAAATGTTATTCTATCGAAAACTACTACTAAAGAAAGTTTCACATAAAAATGAAACGGACAAAGTATTATAAATTTAGGTGTCGTTTTCGTTCAGATATGGAATATCTCATGTGATTGTAGTTATGGAATATCCTTTGGAATTATTTATCCTAACTCATATGTATATGATAAGTAATATCACCATTTTTGTATAAAATTTATATCAGTATTTTCTAGTACTCAGAACCAAACATAAGATAACTATAATCCCAAATTTTATATGGATACGTTGACAACCAACGACCCTTTAATTATTATTTAAGTCACTAAGGAGTTGTTCATGGATGATAACATAAGAAAAGAATGTATACATGAATACAAACTAATCACTGGTTTATTTTAAATGGCATATGTTGTATTATCTGAAATAAGATAAAGATATGGTTTCGGTAGTGTCATTGACCTTAGACTGCTAAATCACAAAGTAATATAGAGATCATTTTTCTTATACTCAAATTAAACGGCCCTTGGAGGTAGCCAATTGTCCAAAATCATTCTACAATTTTCTCCTACATTCAATTAGACCATAAACATTGACGAATGATGATCAATCCTCATTCTTACTTTGTGATCCGTTTATTTTACTTTTATAATAACACTGACGTCCATTTTTGTTATAGTGCTATAGGAAGCAAAATCATGCAATCCATTGACTTTACTTTGTGTATGAGTAATTTTAAAATCAAAATAAAAACTAGTAAGGCGTGTTATAAATAGTGACTAATGATTGCATTATACGTCAGACGCAAATGATTAAAGTTTTTTTTTTTAAAAAAAAATGAACAGACAAATGGTGGTCCGATCCTGAAATTGCAGGCTAGACACTTTCAAGAATTGGTCTAAAGAACACAATAACACATATACACCGTTATTAAATCAAACAATGACTATAATATAACAAGTGTTTAACTAGAGGGGTCCTCCATTTCTGTGTTTCTGATTAGTAATAAAGTGTTAAAGCGGTAGGGTATTTCGAATTAGAAAGGTAAAAGTATAGTCTGAATTTGCCCAATAAGTTATACTTCTAGTATCAGCCTAAAATAGAGTGGAATAGAAGGAATCAATTCCTTTTTTCAGTAGAATATGTTGTCATGTCAGAAAGTACCTCTTTGTTGTGAGCAAGGGAATTTCTTTATATTAACAAAACCTTTCTTATTCTTTATTCCGCTTGAAACCAAATATAACCAGATACAGTCAAACCTTTTTATAACAGACTCGTTTGTTTTGAATATTTTTTAATATTATAGCGAAGTATTATTATAGAGAACATATATTATAACATAACATAAAAATTAGTTCCGGAAAAACTTAACTTTTATGGTGATGTGTTATTATATAGTAATGATGTTATAGTGAGGTCTGACTGTATTAAAATTCTAAAAGAAACAAGTAACAATATACTATAATATCTTTTTTCCATTTCCTCTTTAGGTACTTACTTTCCTTTATTTAATCCAAAC